GATGCGGCAGGCCAAAAAGCTCCGGAAGACGGGACCAAAAAACCCTTGGGATCACGGAACCGAACCCAGGGAAAGGTAGACATCAAATCCAACTCGAACGAGGAGGGGGAAAAAGAGAACCCCACCCCTTGTAACACCAAGCCCCGCTCTGAGGGTACAAAAACCCAAGCAGGGTCCAACAGGGTCCAAAGCCCCCCCAAGTTATCTGCTCCCTCGCCCCGGGAACCTTCCCATGAGGACCCGGGGCCGAACCGTCCCCCTCCGCCTCTAAAGAAAAAGCAGGAGCAGCCAAAACAGCAGGAACAAAGGGGGGCCTACTGGTCAGACCCAGAAGCTCTGGCTGAGGACCAGGCTCGAATGCCTCTGCCACCACACTGGAAGGGGATTTCCCCAAAACAGCCTGAGTCTCAACACCACCTAAACCCTGCCCCGACTCCGAAGCCCACAGAAGCTTCGGAGACAAAAGCAAGGGAGGGAGGACCAGAACGCACAACAGAAGGGAAGGACAAGGGGGTGCGGACGGAACCAAAATAGAGGCGGCTAACACCCCCAAGTCCGGGTGCCTATAACCAAAGCGGATCAGTCTCGGGGCATCCGGGGTAGCAACCAACCTAGCGTGTTGCAGCAACCGAAATCAAGCATGCAATGCTGAAGCTGCCTGCACCCCGCACATCAAGATCATTGGTCTGGGTGTGAACTGGAGTATGAACAAGCAACAAAACTCGCAAGAATTAGGGTCAAATGTGTCACCGACATAACAGGTAGCATGACGGAAACACACCCAGTGAATGCCACCCTGAGACAAGGGATCAGAGGAATCTTCAAACTCGCACGAAGTGAGAGGAGACCCAGGGGTTACATCCATTGAACCACAGAGCCCCTGAAGGCTCTGTGGGGAGAGCCCACAGAGGGCTCTCCCCTAGGGCCCTTAGTCGTGGTATTCCGCTAAGGGAAGCCCAGGCAGGGTTTTGCTAATCAGCGCCATGAACTACCAAGCAAACTGCTAAAGCTTAACCCCCGGGGCGAGTACTGTACACTCGTGGGGGGCCTAGCGGAGGACCACCAAAGTACAATAGGGTGTGACCAATCAATGCCAGACTGCCCCACCAGGCAGCAAAAACAAAAAGGAAAATAAAATCCAGCAAGAGGACAACGTATCCCAGGCGGAACAGAGCCGGCCACTATGAGATGATAACTAGCTGCACAGTACCCCGCACCCGAACCAGTGACAAAAACTACCCCTAACCCAGAGGCAAACAGGGGGAGCATGATCACCCCAGCTGACTCCAAGGGCTATCAATCACCGAGCAGCAAAAGACCCAGCGGAGGTAGACCACAAGGTTATTTGTGGAAGGCGGCCCCAAGCCACAAGGGCAGTACTTACAGGGCACCTAGGAAAGGTGACCCTAGGTGCATGCACCCCAAGTGCTTGTGAAATTACTCCTGGCTTGCACACCACCAAGGAAACAGCCCACACAAGGCACAGTGCTGTAGACAGTAAAACAGGAGCCAGAGACACACAACCATTGCCAATCACATCAGCCGAAGAACTGCAGGGTGGATAGCTGGCGTGAGAGTCTGGGGTTTCCACTATCCCCCTTCCTGGGAGGGGAGAGAGGGTTTGTGTAGACAGCGGTGCGGCAACGTGGTGACATCATGCTCATTTGCTCGTTTTCATTTGGAGAGCTCTGTCCACTATTTTGGCTTTCAGTAGCATTATTTTAACCAGAATTTTTTTTTTTGGGGGGGGGGGGTCTTACCTTTCTGGGTGCCTAATCTGGTCGATGGCAGACATTGAATGCTTCCAACCAAATGGGGGTTTCCATAGGCCATTGCTCCTGGTACCTCTCTGAGGGGGACAGGTTCTGACTCGTGGTCCCTGGTAGGCCTAGAACTCCATGCACATTGACTGATGCCAAAGTCTAATATATCTATATCAGCCTGGATAGCTCCTGGGAGCCGAAGGGGTTCCCCCAGTAAACGCATGTAAAAACATGTGGAACAGAGCAGAAGTACACTGGAGCGGCTCCGCCAACGCCGTGCAATAAGAAGAGACAGTATTCGGCATGTGACGTCGGTCCAGAAAAGCCAAGAGAGAAAGGACCAAACAATCCTGCCTGAAGTTGACGAAAACCCTCGGAGAGAAAGAAAAGATGGAAAGACTGTCAAGAGACGTCATACTGTCACCAGGAAGTAGACCGCAGGAGGAACACCCTCAAAGAAGCCACCTGATCACCATATAAATGGTGATACACCTGTGTCAGAAAGACCAAATGCGAAGTGCGGAGCAGTAAAGTAAACCAGCAAGGTACCTCACTGGCCGATCTGCTGGTAGAGGTGGAGCCACGGAAAGCCGCCTGGGTTCAGACACAGAGCAAGCAGCACCTGAAACTAAGGCTAGGTTGGCTACCATGCAGCCAGGAGAAGAACCCTCCCCTGATAGATTTCTAAGCAAACCAGGACCCGGAGCAACAAGTGGACCAGGGAAAAGAGGTACAGTAACCCCCCCCACCTCAACCAGTCCTTGTGTTGGTTGCTGAGTCGCAAGCTTCCGCTTTGGGTTTTTCAGGGTTCAGTGCCTTAGCGCCTACCCGATCCCGCGCTTTACATGTTTACGGACTTTGTCATCTCTCGGCTGGGGCTTTGTGACCAGTGCTCACCAGGCCGGCCAGGGGTAGTAGGGTCCGTCCTTCTATCAGGCCCACAGCACGGTGCGGGGTTCGCGGCGGTGTGGTATTCGCTTCAGAGGGTTTGGGTCGCACGCGGATCAACAATCCGGCTCCATTCAGACTGCTCCCTGGTGGTTCATTGCCTGAACCAAGGGGGTTCCATGCAGTCCTTGGCTCTTCTGGCCATTCATGTCTGGGGGGTGTCCAACGTTCTGCCGGACAGACTGTCCCGGTTCATTCCCCTGTCCACGGAATAGACGGTTGATGCCAACTCGTTTAGTTGGGTTTGACCAAGTCGTTCAGGCACTCAGAGGTGGACCTCTTTGTGTTGGCGTGGTCGAGGCGTCTTCCGGCATATGTGCTCCCCCCTTCGAGGAGCCGAAAGGGCTTCCCCCAGAAAACTAATACACAAGATGGAGAGGCATGCAAAAAAACAGAAAAAGTACTAGACTGGGTATGGGAGTACTTGATGGACAGGAAACAAAGGGTCATAATCAGAGAGATTAAGTCAGGCTAGAGAGGAGTGGAAAGTAGTGCTTCACAGCACTTTCTCCTAGGACCATTGCACTTTCTAATTTATGTAAATCATTTCAGAGGAAGCAAGCTCATATATATATTAATGCTTGCAGATGATACAAAGTTATTGAGAAGAGTAAGAACTGAAGAGGTCTGGAGAGTGCTGCAGGAAGACCTGTATGGGTAAGGAGACCTGTATTTAACTATACCATAGGGAGAAGGACATTGCAAGAAACATAAGAGAAAAAGACTTGGGAGTAGACATAATGCCAACACTAACATCAAGAACTCATATAAAAGGATAACATCAGCATGTGGGAAGTTAGCAAACATAACAAGGTTTCAAGGCAAATGGGGGGACCTTCAACAAGCCGCCGACTTCCTGTCCTCGTCCAGGCCATAGGGTTAGTCGCCCTCAGGTAAATCAGGTACTGTATAAGCACATCAATGAAGAATCTAAATAAGGAGTCAAATTCCATACACATTGTCTATATATGACCATTAGTTTAGTGTGTAGCACCAGCATGGAACCCACACCTTGTGAAGTACAAAAAGAAGCAAGAAAGTTCAGAAGCATGCAACTAGATTAGTACCAGAATTGAGTGGGCTCAGCTATGGAAACAAGTTGAGGGAACTCACCCTCACAAGGGGATATGATCATTACATACAAGATCCTAAAGGGAACAGTGGACAAAAGAGACCTTATTTAACTTAAGAGGAGGTAGGACAAGGGAGCATCAATGGAAACTGGACAAGCAATAGAGTCATAGAAATGTATGGAAGTTCACATTTCCTACATGAGTAGTGGCAAGCGGAATGCATTGAAGGACAAGGCTGTTGAAGTCAATCCCCTCTACAATTTTAAGAAAAAAAAAAGGCAAGAAAATTAATATTGTGAGGGACAATTAGCATGCCAGTTATAAACAGCATTGAGGTAGGGCATAAAGAGTTAAATCTCACTCCCCTGTAGTCATTGATAGGGAAGGAATGATACCCCCTTCTGAGATGTGCTCATGTCCTGGGACAAAGTGCCAGTGAGCCACGAATGTAGTGATGAACTCAAAAAGAGAATAACCACTGCTGAGACACTAACTGAGCTATAGAAGATAAATCTGAAGAAGCATTCAGTTACAAAGTCCGCAGACATGCAACAACAGTGCAACCACACACGAGGAACCATTCACAGATGAAACAAGTTTCTATTGTTGAAAGAGAAGTTACTTAACTGAGTGCATAGGTCACTGCCTGTCTATAATGAAGTGCTTGAAAGTAGGTGGCCAGAATCAAGGAACCTTGTCCACACATAGGTGCTTGAACCTGGTGGTAGTTAAGGGTAGTACCGCATATAGGCAAGTGAACAAGCAGTTTGCCAGTTAGCAGTTTCTTAGATGCCATGTAGTGCTTGGAACTGTATATGAATGTGCCTTCTAAACAGCAATTTTGGGCTAGATTGAGTATTCTGCTGTCGCTTCCTTGTGCCAGTGTGACCCAAAACAGTCATCTGAACTTTGAATAGATTTTTGTTCCATCAGTGCAGAATGTTAGTCTGCCCTGACCGTGAATAGTTCTGCCCATGGTAGCAATAGGACCATGGAAACCGTTTGCTTAAGGAAACAGGTAAATTGTACAGCTCAGAAAAGTAATACTGTATAACTAAAAATACAGTAAAAAAATAGTAAGTAATAAATAATCAAAGATTTTAAAATGCTATAACATTATGCAAAAACATATATTTACAATATATATTAAAAACTAATCCTTACATGTTGCAAAAAAATGAGCATGCAATTAGTTACAAATAAGTGCAAATATTACCTGAACACACTGGACATTGCACCATGTCTGTGTTACAGTCAGCTCTCACTGGGTATGATGAATCACCCTTCACACTGCTTTTCTGGGGGAGTTTTCTATTTTTTGATACACCATATTTATCATTAGGTGCCGTTCCCAAGTAATGACCAGAACTATTGCTATTAGAGTTCACAGAGGTTCTAGAAATCCATGGAGTTTTCTGGACACCAGGAGTAATGCTGCTGCTATTTTGAGCTTTAGCATTTTGGTTTGCAGATATGTCATCCATGAAACTCCCACCAATTTTATTTCTAGAGGGCGGAGCAGATGTATCATCATCATCATCAAACATAGAGAACCCATCATCAATGCTATCAACGTCTAAGGCAAATTGTTGGACAGGTCTATTTGAGCACGCAAAAGATTTATCTTCTTTTTTTCGTTTTGCCTTAGGGCTAATCCAAACATCTAGTTTACATTGTTTGTTCAAAGAAGATTGTGGTGTTGAGGTTTTCTTTGGTCTTCCTCTCGTGGATTTCTTAGGAGTGATTACATTGGAGTCAGAGAGAGCGAGATTATTTCGGTGCGGAGAGCACAATGGCTCACAGGAAAGATCGTCATTCTGTCGCAACTTCAATCTGTCATTACTGGGTGTATTTATATTTTGATTAGATTTCCTTTGTTTAACCAGAAAATCTTTTGATCTCGCAGGAGATTTTACACGTTTAAATGTGAATTTACCAAAGGGTCGAGACGGGGAACATGCTGCACTGCTGGTGTTCCTTGACTGATATTTAGCATCAATGCTCAGAACATCTGCATCGTGCATATTTTTGTTGGCTTTATCTCTACTTTTATTATTTTCATTTGATTTCACAGAACTTGCTGACTTTTCCTTCTCTCTTACAATTGGCATTTTTTTATGTACTACAAATTCATTTTCATTAGACTTAACAACAGACATTTCTTGTTGTTTCTCTAAGTTTTCAAGTCTTTGTTTGGCATAGTCCAGGGCAATATCCTTAAACACTGCTTTTTCATTATGGTTCAACTCTTTCTTTCTTTGTTTTTCAAACTGCTGGCGAACACCTGAAAAAAGTCGATGTACACAAATTATTATACAATAATAATAATAATAATAATAATAATAATAATAACAATAATAATGATAATAATTTTATTTATTTATAAATGAACATTGAAACATATACTTTACATTATATAGTACAGATACATCATATTGAATTTTCTGGGGGAACATCTTGGTGACTCCCTGTAGCTATCTTTGCTGAGATTGCTCCATACTGCAGAGTCACATAAGTGGCAAGAGTTGTGCATTGTTTACCAGGCACCAGAGCCAGAGCCTGGCTCCCCTCACAGAGATACAGCAAGCATATGACATCATGCTATTTAACCAGTAAAGCATTCAGAAAGTCAACAAAACTTTAAAGGCATCTGCTAGGTCACAAGAACCAAAGCCTTGAAACTGCCAAACAACTTCCCAAACAATTTAAATGAAACAAAATAATGCACTTGAAACTACTGTAGCTCAAACCAGTTAATACCAATCACCACCTGCTGGCGGCCAGGAGCTTGGTCCTCCGCCAATTTGACATTTAGTTCTGTTACTGATGTGTTGCCTAGTGCATCACAGTAATAGTTCCTGGTCTCCATCTTTTATGGCGGGTCCCACTGCTTCTAGACTAAGTGAAGCCATCCTGTGGCTTGTCCAGTAGAAGCCATTTGCTTGTGTATCGTTCCAATATACGTTCATCAGTCTTCGTGGTGTAGTGGTAAGACACTCACCTGGCGTTCCGCGAGAGCTTTGTCATGGGTTCGTATCCTGGCCGGGGAGGATTTACTGGGTGCAAATCCTTAACTGTAGCCTCTGTTTAACTCAACAGTGAAATGGGTACTTGGATGTAAAAACGATTCTTCGTGGGGTCGTATTCCAGGGACCTGCCCGAAACGCTATGCGTACTAGTGGCTGTACAAGAATGTAACAACTCTTGTATATATCTCAAAATAAATAATATATATATATATATATATATATATATATATATATATATATATATATATATATATATATATATATATGTATGTCGTACCTAGTAGCCAGATCGCACTTCTCAGCCTACTATGCAAGGCCCAATTTGCCTAATAAGCCAAGTTTTCATTAAATAATTGTTTTTCGACTACCTAACCTACCTAACCTAGCCTAACCTATAAAGATAGGTTAGGTTAGGTTAGGTAAGGTTGGTTAGGTTCGGTCATACTGTATATCTACGTTAATTTTAACTCCAATAAAAAAAAATTGACCTCATACATAATGAAATGGGTAGCTTTATCATTTCATAAGAAAAAAAATTAGAGAAAATATATTAATTCAGGAAAACTTGGCTTATTAGGAAAATCGGGCCTTGCATAGTAGGCCGAGAAGTGCATTCTGGCTACTAGGTACGACATATATATATATATACAGGCATACCTCAGTTTAAGAGTTTAATTGGTTCCTGGAGACGCCTCGTATTCCGAAAACTCGCATTCCGAAGCTAATTTCCCCATAAGAAATAAAGGGAAATGAATTAATCCGTTCCTGACTACCCCATAAACCCCACATCAAACTAAATTTTTATACCTAATTCATCTAAATAAACCTACAAAACTATGTTCAAGTTATTACTTACCTTGCTGTTGAATGCTGTAGGCGTATGGAAGATGGTGAGGAGGTGGGAGGAAGAGAGGAGTTACTGTTTGGAAGGGGAGTCCCCTTCCATTATCACATCAGGCAGTGAGGACTTCACTGGTATGCACACTCTGGCACATTTTGCCTGCATACCACTAGGACTTGCTTGTTTTACTAAGAATTTGTCTAATGACACTTGTTTTGCCCTACATTTTAACACTTGTCTGTAGTAAGACATCACATTATCATTTAAAAGGTCAATGCAACGGCCTGCTACAGCTTTATCTGGGTGAGTTTTTTCAACAAAACTTTGCAGTTCTTCCCATACTTCACACATTTTCTTAATCAAGAAGGGACATCCTCTACTGCCCCTATTCACAGCTATTTTCTTAGGTTGAACCTTACCAATGGCTTTCTTGAGACCCATGGCAAGATATATAATGACAACTTTTATGCTCAAATGGCCAAAAAAACGATAAAAAACTGTAAATCCTTGTGAAGAATTCAGGTGGGATAGTCACTGGACACGAGACACTGGTAAACTGAGGCGCGATCGCCATGCCACCACGCGCCAGTCGGCCTGTACATGTATCAACAAACTCGCGTCCCGAGGTAACCCTCGCCTTCCGAGACATATTTTTGGAGTAAATCCTGCTCGTCTTCCGAAAAACTCGCATACAGGGACACTCGCATTCCGAGGTACCACTGTATGTATGTATGTATGTATGTATGTATGTATGTATGTATGTATGTGTATATATATATATATATATATATATATATATATATATATATATATATATATATATATATATATATATATATATTATTAAATATGACCGAAAAAGTAAGATTAATAATTCTAACACGAATTTTCTCAATCTTTCGTTCATTACGCTTCACTGTTGGAGGTAAATCAAAAATCACTTCTCCAAAATTCATTTTTATTTCTAGTCTGACGCGACACGGGCGCGTTTCGTAAAACTTATTACATTTTCAAAGACTTCACAAATACACAACTGATTAGAACGTATCTCTGATTTTATATCTACATTTGAGTGAGGTGGGAAGGGTGATGTGGCATTAACACAAGACAGAACAGGAGGGGATATTAATAGGGTATTAAAAGTATCAACACAAGACAGAACAGAAACAATGGGTATTGAATAGAAGTGTTTGTAGAAAGCCTATTGGTCCATATTTCTTGATGCTTCTATATTGGAGCGGAGTCTTGAGGTGGGTAGAATATAGTTGTGCAATAATTGGCTGTTGATTGCTGGTGTTGACTTCTTGATGTGTAGTGCCTCGCAAACGTCAAGCCGCCTGCTATCGCTGTATCTATCGATGATTTCTGTGTTGTTTACTAGGATTTCTCTGGCGATGGTTTGGTTGTGGGAAGAGATTATATGTTCCTTAATGGAGCCCTGTTGCTTATGCATCGTTAAACGCCTAGAAAGAGATGTTGTTGTCTTGCCTATATACTGGGTTTTTTGGAGCTTACAGTCCCCAAGTGGGCATTTGAAGGCATAGACGACATTAGTCTCTTTTAAAGCGTTCTGTTTTGTGTCTGGAGAGTTTCTCATGAGTAGGCTGGCCGTTTTTCTGGTTTTATAGTAAATCGTCAGTTGTATCCTCTGATTTTTGTCTGTAGGGATAACGTTTCTATTAACAATATCTTTCAGGACCCTTTCCTCCGTTTTATGAGCTGTGGAAAAGAAGTTCCTGTAAAATAGTCTAATAGGGGGTATAGGTGTTGTGTTAGTTGTCTCGTGTTAGAATTATTAATCTTACTTTTTCGGTCATATTTAATAATATATGTCTACAGGAAAGACTGCTACCAAAATATACTATATATATATATATATATATATATATGCAAACAAGCCTGAATGGTCCCCAGGACTATATAAAACTGAAAACTCACACCCCAGAAGTGACTCGAACCCATACTCCCACAACTGGTATGTACAGGGACAAGTGGATTAAGTCAAGCTTGATGGTCAAGCAGATTAAGGCGTCCCTGTACATACCAGTTGTGGGAGTATGGGTTCGAGTCACTTCTGGGGTGTGAGTTTTCAGTTATATATATATATATATATATATATATATATATATATATATATATATATATATATATATATATATATATATATATATATATATATATACACATGTCGTACCTAGTAGCCAGAACGCACTTCTCAGCCTACTATGCAAGGCCCGATTTGCCTAATAAGCCAAGTTTTCATGAATTAATTGTTTTTCGACTACCTAACCTACCTAACCTAACCTAACTTTTTCGGCTACCTAACCTAACCTAATTTACAAAGATAGGTTAGGTTAGGTTAGGTAGGGTTGGTTACGTTCGGTCATATATCTACGTTAATTTTAACTCCAATAAAAAAAAATTGACCTCATACATAATGAAATGGGTAGATTTATCATTTCATAAGAAATAAATTAGAGAAAATATATTAATTCAGGAAAACTTGGCTTATTAAGCAAATCGGGCCTTGCATAGTAGGCTGAGAAGTGCGTTCTGGCTACTAGGTACGACATATATATATATATATATATATATATATATGTTGTACCTAGTAGCCAGAACGTCGTACTCAGCCTACTATGCAAAACCGGATATGCCTAATAAGCCAAGTTTTCCTGAATTTATATATTTTTCATATTTTTTTCTTATGAAATGATAAAGCTATCCATTTCATTATGTATGAGTTTACGTTTTTTAAATTTAAGTTAAAACTAACGTAGATATATGACCGAACCTAACCAACCCTACCTAAAATAACCTATCTTAACCTAACCTAAACTAACACAACTAAGTCAATAATTTATGTTCTTAATATAATATAAAAATAATAATTCAAATAAACTAATTGGAAACCATTTATTAAAAAAAAAGAAAATCACTCGGCCTATTAGGCAAATCTGGCCTTGCATATTAGGCCGAGAAGTGCGTTCTGGCTACTAGGTACGACATATTTTATATATATATATATATATATATATATATATATATATATATATATATATATATATATATATATACATATACATATATATATTATTAAATATGACCGAAAAAGTAAGATTAATAATTCTAACACAAATTTTCTCAATCTTTCGTACATTTCTTTTCACTGTTGGAGGTAAATCAAAAATCAATTCTCCAAAATTCATTTTTATTTCTAGTCTGACGCGACACGAGCGCGTTTCGTAAAACTTATTACATTTTCAAAGACTTTAGTTCACAAATACACAACTGAATAGAACTTACGCATCTCCGATTTTATATCTACATTTGAATGAGGTGGAAGGGGTGATGTGGCATTAACACAAGACAGAACAAGATGTGGCATTAATAGGGTATTAATTTCATCAACAC